AGGAAAGTCAGTACTTGAGTACATAATTTCCTTCCAGACTGATGACTATATAGCTCAATAATCTTGCAGGGGTTATATAAAATGTTCAGTGATAGATCAATGATTACTGGGAGCAAAAGCAGGTTATTGTGATACTGGTAGAGAAAGAAAAAAATAATCTAGGTTTCATTAACATGCCTCTTTGAATCACTTGGTCAGTATTTACCACTGTACCATGTACCTATATATGCCAGGTACTACAGGTAAACAGGATCCTGTCAATTCCATCTACTAACTATAGTGGGTCTTCAAATCATGTTGTTTTTTTATGTTGATGAGAAATAAATAATCCCAGGCTGCACTGAATGAAAAAGTACACTATTAAAAGACCCGCTTTCCTTCTATATAGCTTCATTTAAAGTCAGAGTTCCAAGAATCTATGATGACATGAAGTGAGGACTTACTATATTTCCTGGCCCCATCTTTTCTTCTCCCCTGCTTCTACTGTCCTGTCAGATCCTATTGTTACCGGTATGGACTTCATTATCCTCCTCTCTGACCCTCACTTTTGGTCCATTCTGCAAACCATCACTGTAAGAGCTGGTCTCCAAAGCTGATCCCCTAACAAACCACATTTCAAGGTATCTACCCCTCCTGTGGTAACTTTGCACATGGAATGAGAGCTGGCCCTGTGTACCCAACACAATGTGGTAGAAGTGATGCTGTGTGACTACTGAAGCTGGGTCATAAGAATCCTTTAAGTTTCCACTCCAGTCTCTTGGAATCCTCCAATGGAGGAAGTCCAATGTCATGTAAGAAACCTGATTACTTAGAAACACCATGCTATGAGAAACAAAGTAGCTGCAAAAAGAGAAGAAAGAAGGGGAAGAGGAAGGGAGGAAGCAGAAGGAAGGAAAGAGATAGTAAACAACTCCCCGCCCAGGAAGCAGAGAAGTAAGTGAAGGAGTCATTTTGGCAAAAAAGGTACCAACTGCAGAACAGACTGAGCCCAAGGTACATGGTCCCAACAGAACCATGCGAGTTATCTCCAGCCAACCAAGCAACCCCAGCTGGAACCAAAACACTACAACAGACAAGCTGTCCCTATACAACCTGCATGGATTCTGTCCCCAGAAATGGCATTATAAAATGGAAGCATTATAAAATGGTTATTATAAAAAGCATTATAAAATGTAGTGGTAGAAACCAGAAGACGCTTCCTAACACTTGTATAATGCAGGTATTACCATGGCATTCTCCTATTGCTTAAAAGCCTTTAAAAACTCGTCACCACTAAGATAAAGTCAATTTTCTCAAATATGGCTATTTTATGTCATACTTCTATCTTATGTCCTATCACACTACAGGCATAATTCAAACTCTAATCACACTGAATCAACTTAATGAATTATTCTGTCATACTACTTTACATTTGTATATTCTGGTCCCCCTACTTGGAATGCCTCTCCCATTCCCACCATCCCTATTTCCCTGGCAAACTCATACTTGTTTTTTAAAAATTTGGATCAGACCGCCTGGAGCCAAGCTGAACTCCTATTCCATCCTCATCCCAAGAATGACTAAATGCTGCTACAGAACCCTATACAGTATCCTGTAATCATTTATTTACCCCAGAGGTTGTCCCTCCAGTCTGTGAGTAAAGAATTCTATTTTGCTAATCCTCTCATATCTGGGACCCCAGAGCAAGGTCTGGTACCTGGCAGGCACTTGGTATGTGTCTATTAAATACAAGTAGTAACATCTTCCTCTCCTCTAGATTTCTAAGAGTGCCAAGATTACAAACCTCATAACCACTTTTTACATGGTGTTTTTCCTATGGCAAATGTTAGAGTAAATGTGTCATTTTACCCCCAGGCAGAAAGAATATGCTTTCTGCAATAGAGAAATAGAACTAAAGTTGACACAACTTTAAATCCAAAACACATACAGGAAACACTCAAGTTCAACTTCCTCCAAACACGCTTTCACAAACTTTTGTGTCCTACTTCCCATACGCTATGCAACCTACCACAAGAAAAAACTCACTAGAGAAGCTTCTCTCATCAACTATTTAAAAGGTGCAGGTCCAATAAGGGCAAGCGAAAATGTGGAGACTGGGGTCATACCTGATCAAGCAGCGGCACAGTGCTCTGGGAGAGAGTAAAAAAGCAATAGGGGACCACTCTAAAGGAAGAGTATGATCAAGGATGTTCAGTCTGGAGCTAGGTAAACTGTGACACCCTTGATAGCTTCTTCCCTCTCACACAACAGTGAAATTATTTTGGTTTGAAAAGTATTGCCATTTAGATCACAATTTTTCTAGGCCTTTAGTTGCAGGAGAAACTCAGTTCCCCAAAGGCACTTGGATCAGACTGGTTAATGGGTACAAGTTCTGGATATAGAGATCAAGTACATAAACGCTAACAATTTAGGGAACCTCCTCAGGAGTGAAGAAACAGTAATTTATACAATCAAGTCAAGTAGTCGAGTGTCTTGATTTCAGTTAAAGATCACTGGCTGTCACTACATGTACAGGGTCACAAATTTACAAAATAAAGTGAAATATAAAAAGGAAAAATATTATACCACTGTATACTGGAAAAACAGAAATATACTTACCTTTTCTTCTGAGGAAATAGTAAGTTTATCACTTGAGATTAAGCTGCACACTTGTTCAATGCCAAGATTGAGAAATTCTTCACTAAGTACAACATCTGAAAAATGTTGCTCTGTTGGAAAGTAAACAAAAATCCCTTAATAACAGTCTGTTATCACTGTTTCAAACTGCTTAAGAAGAGATTTTTCTTTCTTTTTTATATTAATATTTTATTTTATATAATTCTTACATCACTTTTGATTTTTGCACAATGTATGCATTTTCATTTTGGTTATATTCCCCATACAACTGCACCCCCCCCTTACTTTGACCCTAGTTCTTCCTCTCCCCTTCCCTCACCCCAGCTGTAGTGTGTCTCTGATTTATAGTTGCTTGCTGATTTTGATTTTTACTTTGTACTAATTAGTCTTTTTCCTGGCCCCTTATTTAGGTTTTCTAAATTCCTGCTATGAGTGAGACCATCCGGTATTTTTCTTTCTCTTTCTGACTTATTTCACTGAGCATGATCCCTTCCAGCTCCATCCATGTTGCTGCAAATTGCATGTGTTTATCTTTTTTGATTGCTGAGTAATATTCCATTGTGTATATGGACCACATCTTCTTGATCCAGTCATCTATTTCTGGGCATTTGGGTTGTTTCCATAGCTTAGCTATTGTAAATAGTGCTGCTATAAACATAGGGGTGCAGGTACTCTTTGGAATTAATGTTTCTGTGTCATGTGGGTAAATACCTAGGAGTGGAATTGCTGGATCATATGGAAGCTCTATCTTTAGTAGGTCAAGAAATCTCCACACAGCTCTCCATAGTGGTTGGGCAAGAAGAGATTTTTCTTAATCTAACCTAAGAATGAGAAAACCAACTGTACTTCTGCTGGCAAGAAATACCAACACAAATCCAAACAACCTCACTAGGGGAAGTAACCTGTACTGAGTGACTTGTTTAAACCACAGCAAAGCAGAATACAGGTAGGAAGACTGCTTTACGATGTACTCAGACTCACATCTATTTTACATGGGATATTTTCAAGTTAAACATCTATTCCTTATATGGTAAAAAGACTAACAGTATTTAAATTTGTAAACCTTCTGATTACAGAACTCAGATGTGAGTAAATGCTATTCTATATTCACACTTTTTTTTTAATACTCTTGTGCTTTAATTTCAGACTTAACATGCCACCATATTACAGTTTTACCACTCAGAATGTTGTGTAATTTTCATGTTACTAATTTGTATTCTTTCGTTTCAGGGTGAAGAACTCCTTTCAGCATGTATTGTAAGGCAGGTCTAGTGGTGATTAACTACCTCAGTTTTTGTTTATCTGGGCAAGTTTTTAGCTCTATTTCTGAATGTCAGCTTTGCTAGGTAAAGTACTCTTGGTTAGCAATTATATTTCTTTCAGCATTTTGAATATATAATGTTACTCTCTTCTTGTGTGTTAGGTTTCTGCTGAGAAATACAATGACAGCCTTATACAGATTCACTTACAAATTAGTGATTTTTTCTCTTGCTGTTTTTAGGATTATCCTGTTTTTGACTTTTACTATGTCTTTAAGAGAGGACATCTTTAAGTTGCTTTTGTTGATGATTATAAGCTTTGTGAACTTGGATATCCAAAATCTTCCCCCAGATTTGGGTAGTTCTCAGCTGTCATTTCTATAAAAAAAAGTTTTCTGCTTTCTTCACTCTGTTTTCCTCCTGAACTCCAGTGATACACCAACTGGTCCTTTTCATGTATCATATAGATCATGCAGTCTCTCCTTACTTTTTTCATTCTATTTCCTTGTTCTCTAACTAGATAGTTTCAAAGTTTGTATCTTCAATCTCACTGATTCTTCTGCTGGATCAAATTTGCTGTTGTTCTCTACTGCATTTTTCATTTCATTCATTGAATCTTCCCCCCTGAATCTGTTTGGTTCTTTTTATTTATTTCTGTGCCTCTTTGTTAAACTTATATACTTATGTATTGTTTTCCCAATTTCAATGAATTGTCTTTCTGTGCTTTGTTATAGCTTGTTGACTTTCCTTAAAACAGATTTTTTTTAAAAAGAGTGAGTTTGGTTTATCTCAGTGAACTTAAAAAGTGTGGTAAAGATGGTACTGCCATATGAGAAAATTAATTTGCAAAAATGATCATGGTTTATCTGAAGAGGTACACTATATGAAAAAAAATTAAGTCTACCTGACCTCCAGTCCCAAATCCTGTACTTTCTAATTGACTACGAAACCTTGGACAAATTCCTTTACCTTTCTGTGCTTTAGTTTTCTCACCTTTCAAATGAAGACAATACTACCAATGCCACATAGTTATTGCAAAGATGAAAAGAACTGATGTCTGCAACACATTCAAAACAATGGCTGATATACTGCAATACTACTTATCTGCTTGCTTCCCACCCTTTTACCTATCGGGTATCTGTTCATGGAAAGGCCACAACTTTTGTGACCCTTGTGAATGATCCCAGATTCCTGTTGGGTGTGCCCTACACAGAGGAACCATTTCTTCAGACTCCCTGCTGTGAGCATACCTGAAACACAGCTATTTTGGATTACCAGGTAAATCACAGATTTCTATATCTTTGGGTTTGATCAGTGGTTTCATCTTACACCTTTGGTTTTTATATTTTCTTAGAGTTGTGTATTAAAGTAGACACCTTCTCAAGCCTTTACTGCTTCAGGAGAAAAATACCTTCCTCTCAGCTCACATAGAAGTTCTGAAGCTTTCTTACACCTTCTTAGGATATACCAGCCCAAGGCTTCTTGATTCTTTTTATGACACAATCCCAAAGCATGTATGTCTTCCCTCTGCTCTGCAACGAACCAAGCTGAGAGTTTACAACCTATTTTTGGTTTTACTATAGTTTAAGTTTGTGGCATCTCCCAGGTCCACAGATTAGGGTTTGTTTTCTGAATTTTCCAAAGCTTTTTCTTGGAAAAAGTACTTCTTCAAAAAGTGCTCCGTTTTTGGAAAAAATTCTCCTTTAGGAGCATGCACAGGGTGCTAGCTGCAGGGATTGGGGTTGTTCATGGGCCAGTTGAGGAGATTCATGAGTGGGGTTTTCCCAGAAATTCACAGGCAGTCATTTTGATGGAGCCCACCATGCAATTAGTAGAATCTGTGTCCCTTTAATGTCCTCAAAGAGTTGTATGTACCAGTTTCCCAGATTCTTCCTCTCCCCACCTCCTCCAGTCATGGAACTCCAAATTAAGTACTCTGAATGAGAGAAAAGAGCCTCTCTGGGAGTCAGTAGTGAGTGCTCACATACTCTTTCTTGGGGGAAGAGTCATGGGCTGAGGAAGTTCTCTTGGGAGAGTGTGGGGGCAATACAAGTAAAGTCAAACTGTTCCTATCCATTCTGAGGCATTTAAACACCTTTTCCTCCTTTCCAATGGAACACTGGATATTCTGGTTTGGAAACCTGGACTTCCACAAAGGCTCTCTTGTCCACGATTGATTATCTATGTCACTGCTTTCCAGATGTTCCTCTTGGCTGCAGTCAATAGAATGAAAATGTTTCCAAGGTCACTTCAGGATCCATAGCTAGCACTGAGTTCTCTGCTTGCTTATTACCCAATGCAAGCATAAGCAAGGCTCATTCTGGGTCAGACTGTAACTTACATGTGGTGCCAGCTCCCACAAAGGTACTATTTTTGTGCATGGATGTCAAGTTTATGTTGTTGCAGGGGAGGGGATCAAAATGAGCAACATCTTATGCCACCACGATCAAAAACACATTTTTAACCACAAGAAAGCAGTAGCAATTAAAAATACAAAAACAAAGAAAAAGTATACTCCAAACTATACCCAACTAGTTTCCTTCCCCAATGAAAAAGAAAACTCTTGCTATAAACAGTCAATATATTTTATTAACGTCACTTCAGTGAACAAACATCTACTATCCCAAAAAAAAAAAAAAAACAAAAGACCAGTAGTTTACTCGCCCCATCTTGAACCACCACCCTAACTTCCTGGCTTTCACACCACACTTCTTTAGGCCAGATCTTAATACTGAAGCTTCGTCATTGTGATGCACGCTCCTATCTTTATCTGTTATAACATAGCCTATGGCCCAGCTTTACCCTGAAATTTTTCTTTGGAAGTCTTTTTCTTAGGATTAGATCCCTCAGTCCCTAGAGGTACTCTCTCCTAGTTTGAATTCTACCTTTCTGACCAGTCTCTCTCCTTCAGTTCTATAAAACTAGTTAGTAATTACCTAAGGTTCTGCCTGCCCTGAACGCCTTTCATGTTTTCTGCATGTTCTCCCTTAACCATGACATCCACATTCAAGCCTTTCAGGTATCTTCAACAATTACCCTCTATAGTTGTACCCAGACCCACCCTCTCTCCCCAACCTCAACACTTGAATTTCCAGCTGTTACTCTCCATGTGATCTAAGCAGCACGTCTCTTGAACAGATCCACAGCACACAGGAAACCAGCAACACATACAAGCAGTCCTCTAAAACCCTTAAATGTAAGGGTTTTAGTCCTCTAAAACCCTTAAATGTAAGGTTTTCACCTCCTTAGGCCACTTACCCATGACCTCTTTTAAGCTCTGTAGTCTGTCTTTTTCACCACTGTGCATTTTTCATTAAGGGCTTTGCTTCACTCCTTTACTTGATACTTAAAGATTCTCTGGCTATGTCTGATGATTATCTCTTCAAAACAGATCACAGTCTTCCTCTGGCCTAGTCTGTCTTTGGCCACTGGAAATCATCTTGCCTGTCTGAGAACCTCTAAATCGGTATTGCACTATACTGGTTCTCCTTCTAAAAATCAAGATGAAGAGCCATCTATCTACAAACCCACAGTGTCAGTGCCTTCCTCTGACAGTTAGTTGCTCAACCTCCTTTTGTGACTTAATGGCTCTCTAGTCACACTGATTTCAAGACTAAATGAAGCTTCAGTCACAGATGATTTCTCACTTTTTATTTTATTGTGGTAAAAATATAACATGAAATTTACCTCCTAATAAATAAATAAAATAAACATTTTTATTTCTACAGTTCAGTAGTGTTAAGTGTACTCAGATGGCTGTGAAAGAGATCTCTAGAACTTTCCCGTCTTGCAAATCTGAAACTCTATTTTCATTAAATAGCTTTCTTTTCCTTTCCCTAACCTATCCCTTCTCTCCTTAAAACCTAAGAAAAACTGTTTCACAAAGCCTGTTGCCTTTGGCCATCCCAGTGCCAATGAGTAAAACTAACCTGGTTAAACTAGTGTTCAATAATCAGTTTCTTCTCTCTGAACAAATCCCATACCTGCAGTAAGATATCATTCCCAGTAGTATAGGCTATGCTATGACTATGCACTAAAGATTAAATATACCTGTAATAAACATGTGCATTCCTGCTTGTTTCTCCTACAAATAAGTTTATGAAGAAATGAAAGCTAACTCCTGGATTTGTCACACTACAGATTATAGGGCTCATCAGGTCCAGTCCCTTATTCCAAATGAAATCAACAACATTGGATTTAAATCCGAAGTTTTGATTGCTCTGCTTTGTATACTGTGATAAGGTACAAATTACCCTTTATATCTGATTTTTAAACAAAGGTAAATTTCATGTTATATTTTTACCACAATAAAGAAAAAATTGAGGAATCACCTGTGATTGAGGCTTTGTTTAGTCTTGGAATCAATGTGAATAGAGAGCCATAAAGTCACAAGCCACCTCTTTGTTAAAAATTAAATGCCATAAGTGTTTCCCATAATACCTCTTTATTCTATGTACTGCAGTAGATCATGGATAAGAGTAATATTTTAGGCCCACAAGTAGTTGATCCCCAAGAGAGAAAGTGCTTTTGGGAAAACAGAAATATCTCTGGTCTGAATTTTTCTAATTAACAAAATGAAAGTGTTAGAACAGATGACTGATAAGGTTCCCTATAAGTGGTAACACTCCGTGAATCTCTGATTTTGAATCCTATTAGTCTGGGGGAAGCGGGGAGTTGAGGGGAGAATCACATATATATCTCTAGCACTTTGATAAACACAGATAATTTTAGTGAAACCTGAGAACAGCTACCTGATCTCAGCTACAAAAACTGTCAACAGAGCAGAGCCAAGACACTGTAGAGAGCTTACTAAGACATAAATGAGGACCCTACTGAATAAGAATATAAAAATGATTCTTTTAAGAGGTATCATTTAAGTCTGCATGAATTCACTCAAGATGTGCTGCACATGAAATGCTTTCACAGTTCTCCAAAGGAAGAACCTTCTGTATCAGTAAATTAACACTGCAACACACCCTCAAATAATCAGCATCTATTCTTTAGTATGCATAGCACACAGTGAAGGCTCAGGATACCATTATTAAAACCACTCTCTCAACACAAATTTCATTCAAAAGGGTAGTTTTCAAAATCATGGGCTTGTTTGAAAGATGGTTACCCCAAGCAGCGATTCCTCGCTTTAATTTTAGAAGGGTGGGCAGATGATTAAAGTAAACTGATTGCAGAAGAAAATGTTCTTCTTTTACAGAGAATGAGGCATGTTAGACAACTGAATATGGTTGTGAACTGACTATTATAGGCCGATAAATACCTTGCAAGCAGGAGTTAAACCATAATGAGCCTAATATCACCCACAGCAATTGGGGCAATGACAGGCACACAGAGAGGGGAGTTCTGATAGGAATGACCACTGGGTTTAAGCTAAGCATCCCAGAGATGCTTGGAAAAGCTGGAACCAGGGCCTCCCCCGGTGGCGCAGGCTGTCGAGCACACGCTGTGAAGCTGTCCACAGCCTCTGCAGTGCTGGTTTGATCCCAGCCAGCCGGCGAGGGTCCCACATGGCGCGGCAGACCTTTCCTGTCTCACCCGCTGCTACCCTCAACAGTGTATTTCGTCAGTCTGCCTGTTCTGTGCCCCACTCTGTCTCTGGTGAATCCTCTCACCCTCCTGCACATCTGGCCTGTACCCTAGTTCTTGTGTAAATGAATAAATCTTAAAAAAAAAAAAAAAAAAAGATGGAACCAGATAGCAACAGATATAAAGAAAGGTAAGAGCATGAGAAGCTATGAGTTTGGTTAGCACAAAGGTCAAGACTAAGAGGTTCAACACGCCCTGAAAGTTCAACATGCCCTGAAGTTGTACTCAGGGCAGATTTCTGAGGGAAAGATGGTTGTCACAAAGATCTATGAAGAGGGAGTTTCAAGGGAGCCAACAGTACAGCTTTTGAAGTTGCTGATGGCAGGAAGAACAAAGAAGAGAGGGAAAAGCCAATCTAGGTATCCAAGAGAGACGTATGCCTGAGGCCTAGAGAGAAAATGAGCTATAAAGAAAATGCCACCAACCACCTGCCAGCTAGCCAGTGCAGAACCCAAAATGGAAGCGGTGACCCAAGTGGAAGGTGTGCCTTTTGACCCACCTCTCCTGTGATTTGGGGGAGACTGACCCCTTAAGGAAGTTTGTCCCCAACATGGAGGCTTGGGGAAAAGCAAAGTTTTATTTAAGATAAAAGGAAAGGAGACACACATGAAAATAGCTGGGCACAAAAAAGTCACCATTTTGCAAGTATAGTGGA